TTGCATCTTTACAGAAAGAACTGAATAATATTAAGAAACTTAGGAAACGTATATATATTCTTTAAAACGTGAAACAAATAAATTGTTTCGATAATTCGATCAATAAAGTGAAAATAACAAGGGCCGGAGTAGACGCTTGGCTTCTCTGGGCTTCAACCATGTTTGGTTGAAGGGACTAAATTTTAGTTTATGTTACATCGGATGTTTAAACACTAATTAGAAATATTAAACATAGACTAATGGCAAAATCCATTTCATAACCCTGTACTAATTCGCAAGACGAATCTATTGAGCCTAACTAATCTATGATAGCCTATGTGATGCTACAGTAAACATATGCTAATTATGGATTAATTAGGCTTAAAAAATTTATCTCGCGAATTAGCTCTCATTTATGCAATTAGTTTTATTATTAATATATGTTTAATACTTCTAATTAGTGTCTAAACATCCGATGTAATAAAGACTAACATTTAGTCTCTGATCCAAACACCGCCTTATCCAAACACCGCCTTAGCTTTCATGGCCTATCACTTAACCCTTTGGTGGAGGACGGTGAGTTTTCCGAATGCTCTCGTCTGATAGTGTCTAGTGACAACCGAGTTTCAATGGATTAAGTTATAGGTAAAATTTAAATTTTAAACTTAATTTTAAATTAATCTATGCGCTTTTTCATTCTTTTCTATTACATTGCAAAAAGCAAAAGTATAATAGCTTTATCTAAAATTATTTTTCCTCATTTATTTTTCTTTACAGCTTATCACGTGGAGGCGTGTAGCTAATCAATATGCTTGGGTCATCCTCAATATCTGGCGCGAGGGGCTTACCAACGAACTGAACCTATGTCATCCTATTGTTCGCTGATGGTTATCCAGAATACGAATCTTAAAATTTAATTTAGTAGTTTTCTTCACTACGCCGGACCAGGTTATCTCTGACGGGCCCAAACCCTCACCTTTGACGGGTTTGGTCTTGGTCAGTGATTAGTGGTCACTGATGACAAAATCACCTGTGACGGATGAAACACCCGTAACAGATAACCCATCTCTGACCGGTATATAAATCATCTCTGACGGGTTAAAACTTGTCACCCGTCACAGATGAGTCATCAGTGACGTGCCGTAACTACCTGACCGTCACTGATGACTCATCTCTGACGGGTTGTAACTTACGACCCGTCACTGATGACAAAGCAAGAAATACAATTTTTGAATTTTAAACGCAACAAAAAACCTCAAAAAAATATTTTGAATTTTACTAGCCATCCTATACATGGTTACACATCACTACCTATAAATTCACAATTTTTCACACAATATAACTTGTATGCTACAAGTGAGATTCGAACTCAAGACCTCAACCTCCATATAGAGCTCCCTTACCAACTCACCTACTCAACACATATTGACTACTAACCCAATGTTATTATTTTGTCTATGCTTGTCTGAATCATTTAACATATATTTAACACCCTAAATGACTTCAAATGAAAATATTATCAACTAAATAGTTATAGATCTCATCGTGTTTTATAACTTTTACATAGAAAATATCTTCATCCGATGTTGTTTGAAGAATTCAAAATTTCATTTTTCAAAATATATCTCACTTTATAACATGTAAATTTTGTGAAATGAAAATATTTTCAATTATAATGTGTGTAGATCTGATTGAGTTGTATGACTTTGATACGGGGCATGTATCCATCCATGTCATTTGAAAAAAAAACTCAAAATTTTGTTTTTAAAAGTAGATCTGATCACTTGTAATGCATGTTCGGGGATGTAAACGATCTCTAATAGAAATGTTGTTAGTTATAAAGTTGTGGATATCATTGAGAGCTACAACTTTTATATAGGACATGTTTCAATCCGAGGTTTTTTGCAAAATTTAAAAATTTGAATTTTCACTCATCACTGACGGGTCATAACTACCACCCGTCAGAGATAACGTTATCTGTGACGTGTGTTAGTTAAAGACCCGTCAGAGATGAGTGGTCTCTTTTGTGATGGTTCATAATACTACACCCGTCACAGATGACTTCACATCTGTGACGGGTCCTCCCTGGTAGCCATATATTGAAGAGGATATTTTTTCGGCCCGTCAGAGATGACTCATCTTTGACGAGTTGCGTTGGCCCGTCACAGATGACCCGTCACTGAAGCCCGGATCTGTAGTAGTGCTTAATCGTAGATTATTTTGTGGTGTTTACACTTTTTAATCAGTAAAGATAAGGACATGCATATAAAAGGTTTACCTATATTTTTTTATTAAGAAAAAAAATGTAAAAATTTAAAACCATAAATAAAACGAAGGCAACAATACTGCTCTCACTCCCTTCATCTCAACACCATAAACACTAGAGATTAAAAACCCTAGCATTTTCCAGTTTCACCAAAGATCATGAATTGAGAAAATTCTAGTTCTTTACCATAAGACAAACCCATGTATAATGTACGAAGAAAAAAAGACTTAATGTGATAGACACATATAAGAGATTTCAAAAAACACCCATTCAAGAACTCATCTTTTACACCGGTTAGAAATCCCCATTAATCCCGGTTATAACAACCCTGACATCTTTAGTACCGGTTGAAAGTATACTAAGTTAAAAAAATGTGGAATGCAAGATTCAAAAAAAATGTGGAATGCAGGATTCAAACTCAAGATCTCCTCAGCCCTCATACGTGTCACCATCCCAAGTGCATCCGACTTGAATAGAGATGTTGTCTTTTTTAACTAACCCTAGAGACGTCTTTAGTACCGGTTGGTAATACCAACGGTAACTAAAAATGTTTCTAGGGACTTGAACTTTTAGAACCAGTAATAAAGATGTATTTTTAGTACTGGTTGTTAACACTAACCGGGACTAAAAATGTTTTTAGTGACTTAGACTTTTAGAACCAGTACTAAAACATCTTTAGTACCGGTTCTTAATCTAGCCAAAATATTTATGATTTTGGGTACCACGACGAAACATTTGCTTATGAGAAGACATTGGCAGAGAACTCATCTTTTATACCGGTTGGAAATCACCATTAATCCCGGGTATAACAACCATGACATCTATATAATACCGGCTGAAAGCATACCAAGTCAAAAAAAAAATATGTGAAATGTGGGATTCGAACTCAAGATCTCTTACCTCATCCCTCAAGCGCATTATCATCCCACCTTCTACATACGTTTGACTTGAACAGAGATACTTTCTTTTTGAACTAGCCCGGGAGACATCTTTAGTACTGGTTGGTAATACCAACCAGGATTTAAAAATATTTCTAGGGACTTGGACCGGTACTAAAGATGTATTTTTAGGACTGGTTAGTGTTACTAAAAGTGTTTCTAGGGACTTGGATAGTGTTTCTAGGGACTTGGATTTTCAGAACCGGTACTAAAGCATCTTTAGTACCGGTTCTTAATCTAGCTAAGATATTTGTGATTTTAGGTACCACGATGAAAGATCGGTTCTCCAGTAGTGAGAGACTGTCAGAATCTCTACTAATAGAAAGATAATGCACGCATTAGATCTTAACCAAGAATGCACATACTATGTCAAGAAATAAAATGATCACCAGAGAACCAGAATTGATAGTACTATAGAGTTATATAAAACATAAGCTTGCATTAAAGTTCCTTTGATTTAATTATCATATAAAACTTGTATAAGACTGTAGGAAATTATTTTAATCGCATTAAACATGCAAAAATGAAAGCATGAAGTCTCTGTTCCAAATAGTGTCTGGTCCACTTTCTAAATAGTGTCTGGTACACTTCCAACTTCATTCATTAATTTCTAGTGAAATCCAATTGGAAGTGGACCAGATACTATTTGGAACAGAGACTTCCTGCAGCGGTAAATCTAATTGGAGAGGCCTCTCCAATTAGTCTTAACCAGAGACACCCACGTGCTAGTACTTTAGGAGTTTTGGTTGCTATTAATCCATTGAGCAAGTAGAGGAAATATTCCTATCATCTATGCTTCAAATAAAATTCTCTTAAATTACTCATCCGATTTATAATCCGATTACACCGTTGTGTTCGTAATAATTAAATCTTTACAACAAGATCTCACATGATTATATTTTGATGAAAAACCACAAATTAATTTTATGATATGTCTAACTTACTTTTAGATTTCACTAAGTTACTTATTAGACATATAAAAGTAAATTCAGTAAAGCCTAAAAGTAATTTACATATATTATAGAAGTAACTTATAACAAAAATAAAGTAACTTTAATTAATGTCTTTTTTCATTGAACAGATTATCATATATACTCCCAGGAGTATGTACTCCATCTTCTCTATTGGATAATCCATTAGCGTAGTTCAAAATGATTTGTGCTGAAAAATAAGTTTTTTTTTATTTGTAGCGTGCATGCCCAGTTTTTCGGTGGTTTCAAATTTTAGAATCATCAACGACACTCCAATCAACACGCAGTACGTTTTTCCCTTAGCGGGATGCATATGCTGTCTTTTACGTGGAAGTATGTACTGTTTTTTAGTTGGCAACAGTATATACTGTTTTTTAGGAAGCAGTATATATACTCTTTGCAGTGATCAGCAGTACATACCTTTTGTTTTGTTGTAGCAGTATATACTTTTTTTTAGTAGTAGTATATACTTATTTTTTGTTAGTAGTAGTATATACTTATTTTTAGGTAGCAGTGGTATGAACTGTTTTTTTAGGATATGGTATATACTTCATCCCAGGTTGGAGTAGTATATACTGCTTTCTTTAAGAATCCTGTATATACGTAGATCTCTGCTTGGATCCGGCATCTTTCACAAATTATATGCTGTGATTTTAGAAGCATGTACTGATGTCTTTCAGAAATTGTATGGTGTGATTTTAGAAGCATGTACTGATTTAATTATTTCAGAAATTGTATGCTGTGATACTACATACTTATTGCACAGTAGCATGATGTGTTTTAGTAGTACTTATATTCCGCATACAGATCAGAACTAAGACTGGGAGGAGATTTTAAAGAACAAAATAGTTGTTTTACAATACCCGATTTAGAATAAATTGAATCATATTATGTTCACAATAGAATTTGCAATCCAGGCAGTATATGGATTCACATGATACATTTAGCCATTCTGAAAAAGAAATAAATGAATCTACAATATACCCAATTCTCGAACTGCACAAGCTGCTTTGGACAGAATTTTAATTAATACTGGCAAATCGGCAATTCATATACTGTCGGGCGTTGGCCACCATCGATCCTTGGTATATGTCACGCATCTGTATGGAGCAAAGTTAGTTAGGGGCTTCATATATATCATTAGGATTACCAGAGGAATAAAAATTGAATAGAAACATGCATCAGGCCTACTGATCATCGAATTGAAGGAGGGGAAATGGCTACATGCACATACGGATCTAACGACATATACAAAGTTAGTCCTCGATCTGCAATAGTAATCAATAGTAAAATGGAAAGATAACTACAGGATGAATAAGGATTAAGAACGGCATGGTTTACCTTATGCAAGTCTGTTGCCGTGTATGGATTTTAGTATTCACCAGGCTCGTCGGAGAAACCCAGATGGCTGATCCTGCATCCCGCCCGATCAACCGTCGTTCTTCATCGTATCAACACCGGTGGCCAGGAGTCATAGCTAGCGGTGCGCCGTGGTGCAGTTGCCTCGCTGCTCCTTCGGCTGGCGAGTGTGGCGGTCGCCGCCGCCGCGTGGACAAAGGCCGTGCCGCAGCAAATCGCCGATCGATGAATGCCGCTGCCGTGGTCAATCGACAATAGTAGCTCTCGATCCGAATACGGTGGAGAGAGTAAAGCTGTTGCCGTCACCGGATGGAATGGAACCAGGGATTTATATGTTCTGTTTAGGTCCTATTAGTCCGGCATAATTAAGTATTATGAAAAATATTTTTTCACGACTATAACAAAAACGGGTTTAGTGGGTGGATCCGGTAAGCATGTTGTTGATCGTGGCTGGTTGTTGATCAACGGTGGATGGGAGCAGGAGTACGTACACCCAGGTGCATAGAATCATTTATATATATATATATATATATATATATATATATATATATATATATATATATATATATATATATGTAAATTAATTGGTGCTACATAGAGTATGGGCTCCAAGATTCAAATTGAGTATATACCTAATTTGAATGAGTATGAAATTTTTTTAAATGTTTAGATATGAACATTAACTTCTTTACTAACAAGTTCAAACAAGTTTGAACTGAGTTTGAACTTTTTTTTTGTTAGATTTTGGTTCTAGGTATATAACATCCAAACATATAATTCGTTAGGTATGCAATAATGAATTGTGAAATAAAGTTGAGTTTGAGTTGTTTTGTTGTTAGGTATTTGTATGAATCAAATTCTTATACCTAGGTATATACTCACAATTTGAAAATTTTTAAAAATTTGAGAGAATTTGTGTGTTTTATACCTTGGAGCCCGGGCACCATGGAGTCCCATATATATATATATATATATATATATATATATATATATATATATATATATATATATATATATATATATATATATATATATATAAGTTATTTTTAGATTTGATTAAAATACTTCCTATACATTCATAATGCTCTGAGATGATTACTTTTATTATTTTTTTAGTTAATTTCATAATTTGTGCTGATTAATTTAATTTCTAGATAGAGTCATGTTTTTATCTTTACAACGGATTTACTTCAAATGACATGCTAAAGTTACCTTCGTTTTGTTCTAAGTTACTTCTATAATATATGTAAATTACTTTTAGGTTTTACTGAATTTACTTTTATATATCTAAGAAGTAACTTAGTGAAATCTAAAAGTAATTTAGACATATCATAAAAGTAATTTGTGATTTTTCATCAAAATATAATCATGTGATATCTTGTTGTAAATATTTAATTGTTACTAACACAACAGTGTAATCGGATCGTATATCGGATGAGTAGTTTAAGAGAAAATTGTATTTGAACTATAGGTGGATGATGCGTCTTATAGATGGAGTGGTAGCTGGTTTGTACTAGCTGTGTAGTTACATCCTACATGCAGGTATGCTCTCTAATCATGTACAAATCATCCACAAAATCATGCGCAACAAATCATCCATAATTCACAAGCCCATCACAAAATCATCCAAGTTATTCACAAAATTATCCCCAAATCTAAAAAAAAATCGACAACAAAATTTAACAAATCAGTTAAAATAGAACCGAAGGGACTATGTGCTAATAACTGCTTCGTTTTTAACGTCGGAGGAAAAGGTTCACAATCAAACAGGATTTAGGGATTAATGATCAGATGGATGGCGATGCGTCGGCGCTCCGATGATCTGACGGTTGGTATTTATTGAGAACATATGGCATAGCCGTCAGACGAGACATCGTCGGAATCGGAGGTCTTCTCCGACTTCCGAGTTGCCAACGGGAGGCGCGCGTTCCGCGGCCATAAATAACGCGGCGCCAAAGCATCACCGCGTCCATCCAATCGCGCACCAACCCATCGCAGCCTGGATGCCGCCGCGACGCCGAGGCGCACCACGCGGCGCGGCCGCCGCCCGTCTCGCGCCGTACCACAAAGGCTGGCTGTCGCGACGGCGACGGCGAGGCCGGACGAACAGACGCGCCAGGAACGACGACAGAGACGGCAACGGCGGCGCGTTCTCGGACGTTCCGGACAGCGTGCTCGCCAACGTCTTCACCCGCTTCCCTGACGCCGCCGACCTAGTCCGCTGCGCCGCCACGTGCCGGCGGTGGAGCCGTGTCATAACCGACGCGGCCGTCCTCCTCTGCCGTTCGCTGCCGCTGCCGCAGCCGGTTTTACCACGCTTGGCCCTCGGCTTCTTCTACCAGGAGGCGGCCGCCGGCAAGCGGAAGCGCTCCGCGGCGGCAGGGCAGACTTGCCGCTTTGTCCCGACGGCTGCCGGCGCTCGTCTCCTCGGCCCATCCTTGAGCCCGTTCGTGGAGGACGGCGAGTACTCCCGCCCGGTCACGTCCCGCAACGGCCGCGTCGTCCTCGAGCTCCGGCGCGAGGGGCACGCCGACGGGCTCAAGCTCTGTGTCTGGAACCCCATGACGGGGGACGTCGCCACGCTCCCGCCTCTCCATGGCGACGACAAGCCGGGAGCGTACGCGTGCGCCTTGCTCACCGCCGACGACCTCGACGACCCGCCGCCGTCGTCGCCAACCTTCTTCCGCGTCGTCGTCGTCTACAACCGGCGAACGTACACCGCGCTCCGCTCCTACTCGTCGGACACCGGCCGCTGGAGCGCGGAGGCTAGACGATCATCAGGTCCCAAGATGAGCAGCTACACGCTCCACAACCTCAGGCAGAGCGTCGTCCATGGCGGCGTGGCCTACTGGCCCCTGGCGCACACGGCATTCGCCGTGCGCGCCGACACGCCGGAGCCCGAAGAGATGCCGATGCCGCCGGCCGTTCCAAAGGCGCCGCCGCACGACCATCTGCTCGGCATCAGCCCGGACGGCAAGCTGAGCTTCATCGTCACCTCAAGGTATTTCGACGGCTCCGCCGGAGTGTCAAGCTGCTACCACCTTGCTTTCGGCAGCAATGGCGGTTGTACGCGCGAACAGGTGAGCGTCTGTACATGGCGCGTCAGGTTGCATGAGTTGAGAGTGCATCGCTCTGACGCCATGAACCTGAGGTGGTTTTGCGAGAGGAGTGGCTTGCTCTTCTTCACAATCGACGCCAAAGGGAGCAGCACTCCTGGTGCTTATGTGCTCAACATTGCAACCAAGGAGCTTGAGAAGGTGGCTGATGACATCGACTGTAGGTCATGGACGAACTTCGTTGGATATGAGATGGATCAGGCATCTTATTACCTATCTTCCGTAGCTTGCTAGCTATTGATCGACTTTGTTCGTATGCGGTCTGTGTAGGCATAGTTTAACTACGGGACCGACTGACCGTGACCGTGTATAACCATTGCTTTTTATGTTTTTTCTTGATAATAGAAAAGATGAACGTGCGTTAATTTGTACATATGTGTTGATGGATAAATAATCACAACCCATTTATTCGTTTAGGTGAGAAAAGGAAGGGGGTTGAGAGAGAGAGTGGGAGGGGCTAACATGTGGGTCCGAAAAAAATTAACTAGGTGTGACCTTCACTAGGCTTTGTTCAGATTCAACGGGTAGGAACTAATCCCTCCCGCACGGAAAACGGAACGGTCCATTAGCGCGTGATTAATTAAGTATTAGCTATTTTTTTAAAAAAATAGATTAATTTGATTTTTTTAAGCAACTTTCGTATAGAAACTTTTTGTAAAAAACGTACCATTTAGTAGCTTGAAAAGTGTACGCGCGTAAAACGAGGGAGAAGGGTTGGGAACATGGGGTTGCAAACACAACATGGGTGTTGGGGTATATGGCCTAAATGTGTAGTGCTTATGTGGCATCTAGGGCTAGGGCTACTCTAATGAGCGAACCGTACTGTGAATGTCCTTAGCAATTCCCGTGGTTTGCTTGGGGGCTTATGGGGCCTTTTATGGTTCCATTGTGCTTTAAGCTTTGGGAGAGAGCTACAAATCGGACGTCCGATGTTACAGAAAAAAATGGACGGTCAAATGTTTCAGTTGACCGTTGGTGCAACATTAAGTTATACATGGTGAAAAAAAAATCAACCTCTGAAACATAGAGAAATTTTGTGAAACACAATAAGAACACACGGTGAAACTTATTGCTATCACGTATGAAACATTAAGTTTTCATTGTTTGAAACATATGTTTTTCTTTTATCAGAATATAATCATGTGATATATTTTTGTAAAGATTTAATTATAACAAATTCAACGGTGTGATCAAATCGTTCATCGGATGAGTAGTTTAGAAGAGAAGATATTTTTAAGATCACTAAATACATGCATGCATGCATAGTGTGGGAAGAAAGCCACTAGAATGTTAGAAGAGAGTAGGGACATAAGCATCCCATATTTTTTCGGTCATTGGTGAAACATTGAGTTATACATGGTGAAATAAAAATTTCAGTTATTAAAATATTTAATTTTTTTAATGAAACATAATGAAAACACGCGTTGAAACATATTGCTACCACATCTGAAACATTAAATTTTAACGGATTGAAACATATATTTTTCTTTCATCATATATTTTTCTTTCATCAGAATATATCGATGTGATATCTTATAGTAAAGATTTAATTATAACAAATATAATGGTGTGATCATATCATAGATTGGATAAGTAGTTCAAGAGAAAAAGTTATTTTGAAGATCATTATAGCATGTATGGATGTGTAAAGTGCACACGGAGATATATAGTAGTTTGTCTATTTGATTTTTCATGTTATGCCAAACGTCTAATCCGAAGCATTTCCATAAGATTTGTGCTATGCAGGTGGAAAAACACGCAAGCTTGTACTGGTTAGTAGGTATTCCAACATAGACCTCGTTTCAAAGGACTAGAGGAGGTGCATGTTACCATTGGGCCACAAATGTTTTTATTAGTTACACGCAATTCATAGTACAATCTAATTTGTAGTTATATTATATTAGTCTTAAAAGTTTTTTTTTACCTTAAAACTGATTTTAAACCAAACTCATATAAAAGATTCGAAAATGGCGCCAACTCCACAAGAGAAGTGGCGCGAAACAACCGTCGCTACCCCTTTTCTCCCGCCACGTTCATACGTGTCACGCCAGTACGCCACACGTCCTCATCCACTCCCCAATCCCATCACGTATTCACGTCGCCCGCTTCACCTTTCCCCCGAAAGGCCGAAACCATCGCCACCTTCCAAACCGAACCGCGCCGCGCGCAGCGAAGAGATGGGCGGGAAGAGGAAAGCGCGGGCGCCTCCCGCCGCGGACGCCACGGCGGCGGCGCTGGACTACCGCCTCCTCGCCCACATCCTGCTCCGCCTCCCGTCCCCGGCCGCCCTCGCGCGCGCCGCGACCGTCTGCCGCCGCTGGCGCCGTGTCGCGTCGTCGCCGACATTCCTCCGCCTCTTCCGCCAGCTCCACCACCCGCCCCCTCTCCTCGGCTTCTTCGTCTGCAACAATGGGTTCGCCGTCTCGAGGTCGATTGCCGACAGCGAGCTCGTCGGCGAGGTGGTCGACCCAACCTTCCTCCCGAGGCTCACGCCGAGGGGATTCCTCGGCGCCGTTAACCGCTGCATCGACTTCTCCCTCGACTCCCTCCCTTACGACGAGCACTGGGCGCTTGCGGACACCCACGATGGCCTCCTCCTCCTCTGCACCAAGTTCGCCGACCGCATGGACATCCCGGACAACTTCGCCATCTGCGACCCCGTGTCCGGCCGCTCTGTCCTCTTGCACGTCGCCCCGGTCACCAACAGCGCGTATCTCGGCGCCGCTCTGCGCACCGACGACAGCGACGGCGGCGGCGTCGTCTGCAGCTTCGAGTTCGAGATCATCCTCGTGACCTGCTACAACATGTGGGAGCCGCGTCTGTACGTCTTCTCGTCGCGCTCCGGCCAGTGGACCGTGCACGCCTACATCCCCATGTTGCCAATGCTCAGCGCCTTCAGCGGCGACATGCACGCCAACGGGAGCGTCTACTGGCTGATCGACGACGGCGGCGACGGCGGCGCGTACCTCCTGGCGCTCGACGCCCGCACCAAACAGTTCTCCATCATCAAACTGCTAAGCAGCATGCGGACGCGCTACGACGGGAACATGCGCGTCATCAGGTCTGACGACGGCGAGCTCCGCGTCGTGGCGTTCGCGGCCGCAGCGGCGCGGCTCGAATTCTGGCACCTCGACAAGAGCAGGAGCAGCAGGGGGCGGTGGGTGCGGGAGTCGCGGGTGGAGCTGGCGCACGTCGACGGTGTGATGGAGCTCTGTGTGGACGCCGATGACGACGTCGCGAGGATCATGGACGCCGGCGAGGGCTTCGTCTTCCTCAAACACTATGGCTCTGAATGGGTGTTTGCTCTCGACGTTCAGGCCATGGTGTTGTTCAGGCTGCCTCACAGGAGGTACTACTTTGGGCCGGCTCTTCCCTACAGGCTGGTGCTGAAGCCGCCATTGCCGGCCTCTTGCGGGTTGATCAACTAGACAGCAATCATCATTCACCAATGTCAAGGTAGAAGAACCTTTCATGTAATTTAACCTTGCTGAAATTCTGTAGGTATTTTTGTGTTAACGCTGTTACTTACATTGCTTAGTTTTTCTGTATTTCGTACTGTGGTAGTAAGATTATACAAATTCTGATTTATTTTCCCACAAAGTTTTACACAAAGTTAAAAGTTTCTGTTAAATAGATACACAACGTTGAAATATTGCATTTCAATCTCCCTCAAAACGAGGCTCATAAAAAATGCAAAATCTAAGACTATTAATAAAATAAAAAGAAAAATTCGAGCGATGAAATTACCACTCCCTAATATCCAAGTTTATAGAACATTTAGAAAGGATTATCTAGTTCCGTAGTTGTATTTGTTGGAGTAGTGTATTTCTATTTTATGGTTAGTGTCGGGAAACTCTTATTGGCACACGTAACGCATGGGAATCTGCCGAACAGTTCGGGCCAAATCTTGAAGAAAGCGGGATACTTAATGTGTTAGCTACAGCACTGCACGGGTTGAGTCGCACAACACCTAGTATCCATCGTTTACAGCTAGGACTACTGAGTTCTCTAATCCCATTTGCTCGCAAATTTACCAATTATGAGTTGGGCGCTTTAACCATTCAACCTTGGATGCTTAACAGGGATCGTTGTACATCGTAAATGCTTTCGCTTCTTTGGTTGGTACTCTTCTATCTGGGACTGGGAAAGATCTGTTGCATTTCAATTTCTTTTCTTTCTGTATTTTCTGCATAGTTAATTTTTTAGTCATGCACCCACGAACAAAAAATGCCTAATGCAGATACCATATATATGCAGGAAAAGTTAATTCACAACACTTGATTTTACATTGACGCCATGATCAGTTCTCTTTTATCTGTTCAACGGGCTCCTATTTGCTTGTTTAGTAACAGAGTATCCTTTTGTAATAATTAAGTGTTTAACGTTTTATGAACACTAGTTAAGCCTATTCAACTTTTCTTTTTTAGTTTTTGATAACTGGTTTTAGCATAATTTCAAGAGCTGTTGGTATCATAATTTTGGTGAACTACTCTTGGCTGTCTGGTACTTTGAACTATCCGCCTTGAAAACATTTTTCAGTTCCCTTTTAACTCTCAGACTTCATCTTCAGTAGGGATGGTTGAATATTAGATTATTTGTTCACTAGCCAAGTGGCTGAGACCAAATATTTACTTTCAGAAATTGTCTAAAATTATGCTGGGGATTATGATAATGTTAATAATATATATCACAGGTTTTGTTGGAAATACAAGGTTGTCATGATTGATAATCAGGGTTTATTATATTCAAGAATCTTTTGTGCGTCCCTTCTGTTTGGACAAAGTTTCTCTCAAGGTAAGAGAGAATTAGGGGATTTCAATCTTGTATTGATTTGGCCCTAAATGACATATATGTACACAAGAGAGGGGAACACAAGAGAGGGGAAAGTACTCTAATACCCTTGACATACTACTACACTTAACACCCCCACTCAAATGCAATGTGTATGCAATAACATTGCATTTGAAGGGTAAACTAAACACTAGGACACAAACTAAATATTAGCCTATCTCCAAAGTCTTGATGATGTCGTCAAAGTGTGCCAATTCTTGGATGATGACGATGAAGAAGAAAAAGATCCATCTCCTCTTCAATGAAGTGGACCTCGGAGCCTTCACAAACTGTTCTTCGGCCCTCGGTACCTTGAAGCCTTCACGACTCGTTCTTCGGCTCTTCATTGATTCAGAGACGTTGACGATGATGGAAGGCCCTTCACAAACTGTTCTTCGGACCTTCATAGATCTGATAAAGGACCTTCACAAATTGTTCTTCAGTCCTTCATTGAGTGATGATGATGTCAACTCCGATGGGGAGATGGTGATATGACAGACCAGCTCCGATGTGGAGCTGGTGAAGTGATAGACCAATTCCGACGGAGAGCTGATATGAAGCTGGAGATCAATTGGACGGATTGAAGAATATGCAATGGACTTGGATGGATTGAATGGCAACTAGTAAATGACACAATGATACTAATAGATATGCAGCAAGGCTTTAATGGATAAACTAGATAGGATCATAGGAAACAAAGGAAATCAATTTGTAGAGGACATTGATATGCTAGCAAAAGACATAATTGTGGCTGCCAAGGAATTGCATATTAACTGATTAATTCTATCCAATTTGGTAGCAGAGAGAAGTAGCTGATGAAGATGGACAGGAGATGGTAATGAGAGACCACGAATACTTTCAGTAAAGCACCAAATTGGAAAGGCAAAAGCATGACCACAAGCTGGGAGCAACTCTTTGAAGCATTTTGTCGAGCACCTTGTGTGCAGCATATGGACTTGTGCAGTTTACAGGCAATAGCCAAGACTGAAGGATCTGCCGGCAGCGGCAGCTGCTTGCTCTGCTACAAACGGGTGACAGGGCCTGATTGGCGGAGAGGACCGGCGCCACGCAAGGGGTTACGACAGGCAGCGAGGTGTGGAGCTGGTGAGGAGATGCACGCCGCGACGAGCGGCAGTGACAGATGCCGTTGACGAGCGCTGCGACGGGCAGCGAGGACGACGGCTGGTGAGGACGGCTTCGCGATTGACGACGAGCCGCAGCGGGGACGACATGGCTGACAGCTTGGACGGGGTTGCCGCCGGCGGCGTGCACTGATGCGTGTGGATGAGGAAGGACGATGCTCCTGACTGCTGCTTGACAGGCTTGAGGACGGGACGACGAACAACGATGCTACCAACAACTTGACGAAGACGACGGTAGTACGAGACAATGGCTCGCCGGCGGCGACCGCCGCCGGCGTGCCGCCGATGGGAACTTGGTGGGTAGGATTAGCAGTAAGGCTCTGATACCATCTCAAGGTAAGAGAGAGATTAGGGGATTTCAATCTTGTATTGATTTGGCCCTAAATGACATATATGTACACAAGAGAGGGGGAACACAAGAGAGGGGAAAGTACTCTAATACCCTTGACATACTACTATACTTAACAGTTTCATCACTGTCGCGTAGTGTCAATTTTGTGGTTGTAATGAAATATTTGTTCACTACATATGGAGCATTGTGATTCGTTGAAATGGTAACATACCGAGTATCTCTGCGATAGCACATCACCTGCTGGAATGATTTAGCTTTTAATTGGTTATTCAGCAATTTGCTGGACTCTTCAAGATTCGATCTCTTGTGTTTTCCAGTGATTTTTATTGTCTGTTATTTTGTAGGTTTATTGTCTACTTTTCAGAAGAGAGGAGAACAAGAAGCCTTTGATACTCGACAGCATGGATGGTGTTGACTAAGAATGTGATTGGAAATGGCTGGAAGCAGTCTTGAAGCACACAATCCTTCGTTGGGTCAAGTAGTGTGGTAGACTGGTAGTGCACTGAACTCTTGATGAATGGTGCTAGCAGAAAAAAAAATGCTTAGTCGCGCTTTGCGTGACTTTGAGCGTTAGTATAACCTACCTATATAATTAGACATTGAGATATTGATCCTGATATTAATTGAAGGTACCGGTTTCGTAAGTACCCTAATCTTTGTTCTCAAATATACTCCATTAATTCCTATATATAAGTATTTCTAGTTTGTTTAGTAAAGAGTAAGATTAAGGAGGAATGATCTCTTTCGGTTACTTACTATCAAATTTTGAACTACTCCGATTGGCTCTTTCCGAACACCTGATTGGCTAAAAATGTTAGATATGCATTGAAATATTAGTGTCCTAGAAATGCTTTATATTTGTATATAAAATTTGTCGTAGAAATACTTATTTCGGGAATGACGCAGTAGCAAGAGATGTAAATGGAGGAATGTTGTAATTGATTGACATTACAAAGTAGACGAAGAAATTAAATAGGATATGACTATGTTGGTTAAGATGAGAGAGTAGATGTAGAAATAGCTATAGTTTATGATAAATTTTGAATGTTAAAACACCTATATTTTAGAACGGAGACAATAATAACACTAAGTGCTCCTAAGTGTAAGGTGTGCGTTTGTAGGGACTGTTTTAAAATAAAATGGTACATAGTGTATGCTACTTAGTTGTTGTGTGTTGCTCCAATACCAAGCAATCAAAAGTAGTATACATTATAGATATAAACTTGCATATAAATTCAATACAAATTTACGGTAAGACATCATATTTTTTCCTTTATTTAGTCAGGACATTAATTAAGCAAACATATATATAGTGTTAAAAAGACTTTTTTTAACGGTAGTGTTAAATAGACTAACCACATGAGTTCTCTGCTTTTTGAGGTCTTTAGTCTGGAAGCATCCGGATTGGTCCAATGTGTTTCCACTGTCATAGATGAGCATGATGATCCAACTGTGTATTTTCATTTACCAGTTCATCCAACGGTCCATACATTGTAGATGATATGGCTCATCCTCCTTTCAGAAAGCTTGTTGCTTTCATATATTTAGATTTTACTCAGGGCCTTTTAAATGCTTGAATTCTTTTCTTTAATTAATGGAGGGCTTGTCCTGATCTTAAAATTAATAGGCATAATGAAACATTTAATTAATCAGCTCAATTAGTCCGAGAGATGGTGCCCCTTTCTTTTGACAAAATTAATAGGGATTGTTCTTTATATATTCTTTTTTTAAAAAAATATGACTTGTTCCTTTAGTTACAAGATAAAACAAAAACATCAAGAGATATAAGGGATCGGCTAAAATTTTAAGGGCATACAAAGAATTTTCTCTATAAAATTAGTTGGTGATTTAGTATGAAATCTAAAACATCAATAATATTGTCTAGGGAGAGTATTATCAGCTCTGCCTGAAAAAAAAATCAACAAAAAAAGTTCCGAATGATATATTGGTAGTCCTGAAAGGAAAAAGTCACGCTAGGAAGGAAAATGGTTAGAGCAAGTTTAATAGCATAGTCAACTACTAGCTCCAAAAATCATATATAGTCAATTTAATAGTTAATTCATATAATAGTTATATACTACACTATTAATACGTGGTCTCACCTATCATACACACTGCGTCTTGGAGTTTGTGCTACAGCTAGCTACAAATCTCTAGCCCGCTGCTCT